CAAATTTATTCCCTTACAGTGTGGAAGTCAGAAGTCTGAAATCAATTTCACTGAGCAAGGAGTTGGCAGGGTTGGTTCCTCCTGGAGTCTCCTGGGAGAGAATCTCTCCCTTTGCCTTTCTTTTCTTTTTTATTGTCTTAAGTTTTACATATGTCTCCTTTTCCTCCAATTTACACCCCCCCCAACAATTCCCACTCTGGGTAAGGCCCCCCCTTTGCCTTTTTCAGCTGCTACTGGCCCACCTATATTCTGGCCTGTGGTCCTCCCTCCATATTCAAAGCAATCACACTGATCTCTACTTTCATCATCATATCATCTTCTTTCCAGTAGTCAGATTTCCCTCTGCTTTTTAAAAAATTTTAAGTTGTGAGCATTTTGCTGCATGAAAGAAGTAAGACCAAAGAGAACATGTACCTTTTAATTCAATTTTTAAATGGTCAAAACCTTGAAAACTTAAGCTATATATTTTTTTTTCATTTTTAGGTAAGTTATAAAAATTATGAAGAAAATCCAGAAAATGCTGACTTGAAAAATCAGAATATTGAATTCTTCTTGGGGGAGAAGCAGAACATTATTGGGATAAAGTATTGCAGATACTGTAGGGTGTTGGTAATCTTTTTTTCCCCCTTCATCTTCATTGAGATATAATTGGCATAAAGCATTGTTTACATTTAAGGTATAAAATGGAATGTTTTATCAGGTAAGAAACTTTCTACTACAAAATACAATATTGTTAACTACAATAGCTATGTTGTACATAGATTCCCAGAACTTACTGATCTTATAACTGAAAGTTTGGACCTTTGAGCCAACATCTCTCCATACCCCCCTTTACTCGGGCTCTGGTAACCACCATACTACTCTCCTTTATGAGTTGGACTTTTTCAGAGTCCACATGTAACTGAGATCAGCAATATTTGTCTTCCCCTGACTTATGGACAAAATTGCACACCACTGCCGTTCAGTGACATTGCATTATCATAATATAATTTAAAGTGAACAACCACAATTCAATCAAAAGGCCTCAAAGGTGAAGCAAAATATGCGCTGAATCTATTGTGTGGACATTGGAAAAGGAAACAGTCAATGACTCTAAAGATAAAATACCTCTAGATGTTTCATTTTATAATATCTTAACTATATTTGTAAATATTTATGGCCAATACACAAACTATGTTTTCCCACTTCAAATTGGAATCAGGCTTCCTAGTATCATTAATTAGAAATTAATTAGAGATACCTTTGTTTATAACTTTTGTAAAAGTGTAGAATTTCTTAGCAAAGGAGTGTATGTTCATGTGCCCAAGGTATATGACATGGAGGTGAGTGTGAACAAGTGGAGAGAACTGGGTGGCAAACACCTAGCCCAACAGAGTCAAGGATTAGCCATCAAGGAGTTCTCTCTCATCTTGTACTGGTCTTAAAGGATTTGCAATTCTCAGGGATCAGAATGACGCTAAAATTTGTCTAATGAAGACCTTTGGATATTGATCCCCAGGGATACAGAGACTGTAGAAAGTCAGCCTGCCACAACCTCACTCAACCACCCTGGCCTAGTCAGTGAGCAGCACACCTGAGGCTCCTTCCAGACCCTTCTTCACCAGGAGCCCATTGCCACCTTTGGTCACTCTGCCCTTCCTATGGACAAATCTTCCATCTTAAATATCCAGGTGACACATCAAGCATCAATCCGCAACGATGCCATTCAGGTAACTTAAGATCCCTTAGTTAATGCGAGGAGGCATTGAGGAGAGTATATGCACATTGTAATCAGAACCCAGTGTTCCAGGGATTCTGCCTAACTGTTTTCTTGCTGACAGGTTCTCATGTATGTTTGTACAGATAGTCATCTCATTCTCAACCTGCCAGTCTCCTTACCGGTCTAAAAATGACAGAACTCGTTTTTCTCCTGAGCAGAAACCTGCCCCTTCTCACACAGTGACTGCTGCAACCTTTCTGACATTTACCTGAACGCATGTGGTGGTCCCAGGGAATGGGCATGGCCAGCTTTTCCTTTCATTTCCATTCCTGGGGTACGGTACACCATGCACAGAAGAGTGTATCATCTCTGTAGCTGGGCTGTGAAAACGCAGGGGAGAGAGGGGAAACAGAGATTCAGCTGGCTGCCTTCCCAGTACACCTGTTTCTCTCCATAGTATAATAAATGTAAAACTGCATGACCACTCTTTAACTGATTCCAGAATTAACAAATGTTGGCATTCTGCTTCAGATTTTTTATAAAGTTAAAAAAAATATTCATACAGAAGGTACCCCTTTACATTACCCTTCTTTTCTGTTCTTGCTTTTTTATACACAACACCATATTGAATGTGCTGGTATCCCCATGTACTTTTATCTGTGTCTTTACAAACACATAAAGGATAAAAGGCACTAACCATAATACAACCAGAGAATAGAGAAATAGGTTGTGATGTAACAATATAGAATAATACCATCAGGTAATTAAAATTAATAAAGTGGGACAAAACATATCACTGTTAGTCAAAATTAAATTACATAGGAATACCAATTGCAAATGACATGTACCATATGGTTCTGCTTGTGATAGCTATTTAAATGTAAAAGAATGCATTTATTTATGGAACAATAATACTAATTCTAATTGAAATAGTAGGGGAATCATGTATCTGAAGTTAGTGTGGTGGCTACCCTGGGGAAGGAAAACAATCAAGATTGTGCACATTCATGATGGGGGGCTTCACACATACCTGTATTATTCATTGCAATAAATTCACCTTCAATGAGGATAATGTGTGTACCTAGTACTTTGTTATCTCTTTATTTTGTTGTTCTTGAATAAGTTATGTCTTTTAAACGTGTGTATATTTATTTTTGTCATATATTACTACCTGAGGAATGTTCAATGAATACTTTCAATATTCTCATGCTGTACACTTTTCATCATGCCACATCTTTTCTTATATAGGTTTTTCTTAGTTATATAGGTTTTTCTTATCTATTCACTTTATTATTTAACTCATTTCATTTGCTACACATTTCATCATATGTTCATGCCAAATGAATATTGATATCATTCATGTTTACTTCATCCCTCTTCACACAGGAAGTGTTATGAGATGGAGTTTCCTCTCAGAAACTCACACCTGAAATTTGCAGTTTTCATACTGAAGCTATTCTGTCTTTCTATTATCTCTCCTTAGCTTGCCCACCCATTGCTTCCTTCTGAGGAATAACACATGCCAGGTGCTGTTGTTCATGGACAAAAAAGGCCACACACACAAAACAGGAGGAGTCAGTACAAGGGTCCTATGGACCAAGTGCTGCGCCGGCTGCTGCCCTCTGCCCAATGCTCATCACCTCAGCAGCTCACGAGCTTCATGAAACTTCCCACTAGAGTGATGGCGAACCTATGACACGCGTGTCAGAGGTGACACGCGAACTCATTTTTTTGGTTGATTTTTCTTTGTTAAATGGCATTTAAATATATAAAATAAATATCAAAAATATAAATCTTTGTTTTACTATGGTTGCAAATATCAAAAAATTTCTATATGTGACACGGCACCAGAGTTAAGTTAGGGTTTTTCAAAACGCTGACACGCCGAGCTCAAAAGGTTCGCCATCACTGCTAGACAAATGAGGGCACCTACACCTCCTATACAGTGGAACAAATGTCTTCATTCACAAAGCAAGCACTGGTTTGGATTACATTTGAAGTGCTTGAGTCTAAAAGATGCACCACATAATGGAGGCTGTCACAGGCACTTCTGTCTTTGCCAGGAGAGGGAGGACCACTGCTTCAGAGAGACAAACCTGTTAGGACTCCTGATTATTTTATAAGTTTCTTATAAATCTGCATTATCTTGCAAATCTCTGCCTTCAAGGACCAAAACACTTGTTGCTATTTCTGTCTGTTTTATGAAGAACCTATGCATTTCATTCCTTGTCTAAAATAGCTATTTTTTTTATTTTTCTACATAATATACCACTTGGCACCTTAGGGGAAGAAATCCCTTAGGATGAGATAGAGAATGTGATCAGCATGGCTGTGCAGCTTCTCTTAGACAAAATTCATAATGCAGATGAGTAGCGTATCCATGGGGGAATCTTATGAACTGTATGCTTATAGGCAACATTTTAAAATCTAAGCTCAGGTGCAGAGCGTGGACTTGGATGGATGCCATTACCTGACACACTACTCACACTACTCAATGGCCAGAAGTGAACATGCCTTAGGGGATGGGGGAATTGAGGCACTTTTCAAGATAAATATATAAAAATTTTAAAGGAAAATTATGAAATCTGAGTGATGGTTTAGGAATTCTAATTCTCTATTACCCAGAGGCATTAACAGTGATGATCAGTCAGACAGTCAACTCAGCGTCAGACAACATGTACTTAACTTTGTCTTTTCCTCCCACTGTATACTTGTGTCCATGATACAGTCTCACCTTTCCTAAGTTTCCCCGTGGATAATAGAGTGACAGTATGATCTAACTCATCGATAATTTGACAAACCCTTCAGATGATTGGGGAACCATATGCTCTGCAAGAGGTATTGAATAACTTCATTCTCATCTTTCTGTTTGAAGGCGAAGGAATATTTCTGAAGGAAATGCCATGTCTTTTCTTTGTTTCAGTCTCAGCACTTGACACTAGGTTATAAACAGAGCTAGTGATCAAATATTTGGGCCAAGAAAGGGAGTGAAGGGAAGAGGAAGAGTGAGAGAGAATGATGACAGGAGAAATCAACAGAGGGAAAGATCTGAGTATTCCCTTAGGTTCACCATCTAAACAACGGTTTTCTTCTTGTTGTTTAATTCCTAGTTTTCAAACTTTAGCAAATATGAAATTCATCTGGAGGGCTTGTTAAAACTTAGGTCATCACTCCAGGAGTTTATTGCAGTAAGTCTAAAGTAGTACCAAGAATTTACGTTTCTATCAAGTTGCCATTGGATGTTACTGTTACACTCCTGGGGACCATTCAGTTTATTTTATTTTCTCCCATCTGTTCCATCAGGTTCATGAACAACATGTTACCTGGAAACCAAACAGACGTTTCAGAATTCCTACTGCTGGGATTGACAGATGATCCGGAATTGCAGTCCCTCCTCTTCTACCTGTTCCTGTCCATCTACCTGGCCACTGTTCTGGGAAACCTGCTCATCATCCTGGCCGTCATCTCCGACTCCCACCTGCACACACCCATGTACTTTTTCCTCTCCAACCTGTCCTTTACTGACATCGGCGTAATCACAGTCACCATCCCAAAGATGCTGGTGAACATCCAAGCACAGAATCAGAGCATCACTTATATAGGCTGCCTCGCCCAGATTGGCTTTGCCCTGGTTCTGAATGGATTTGAGAATTTTCTCCTTGCAGCAATGGCCTATGACCGCTATGTGGCCATTTGTCACCCCTTGAGGTACACAGTTATCATGAATGCCCATCTTTGTATTCTGCTCATCGTACTCCCACTGTTCCTTAGTACAGTGGCTGCCTTGCTCCACAGTCTGATGGTGTTGCGGTTGTCTTTCTGCAAGGATCTGGAAATCCCTCACTTCTTCTGTGAGCTTGCTCAGGTCCTGAAGCTCGCATGTTCTGACACCCTCATCAATAACCTTCTGGTATATGTCCTTATAAGCCTGTTTGGTGGTATTCCTCTGTGCGGAATCATTTTCTCTTATAGTCAAATTGTCTCCTCTGTATTGAGAATCCCATCACTGGGGGGAAAGCTTAAAGTTTTTTCCACTTGCGGGTCTCACCTCTCAGTTGTCTCCTTGTTCTATGGAACTATTTTTGGTGTGTATATTAGTTTTGCGATTGCTGAGTCATCCAGGAAGACTGCAGTGGCTTCCATGATGTACATTGTATTTCCTCAAATGATGAATCCCTTTATCTATAGCCTGAGGAACAGGGACATGAAACAAGCCTTGAAGAAACTCGTTGGTAGGATACCTTCTTTTCTGAATTTGTGCCATTTACTTTGGGCAAGGGTTTCTAGAATGAGGGAACGTGAAAGAAATCCTGGTTGAGTCACAGTGTTTAATTTTTCCATCACCATTCTTGTAAGATGGCTAGACAACATGATGACCAAGTTAATTTTTTTTTTTTAAATATATTTTATTGATTTTTTTACAGAGAGGAAGGGAGAGAGAGATAGAGAGTTAGAAACATCGATGAGAGAGAAACATCGACCAGCTGCCTCCTGCACATATCCTACTGGGGATGTGCCCGCAACCCAGGTACATGCCCTTGACCGGAATCGAACCTGGGACCCTTCAGTCCGCGAGGCCGACGCTCTATCCACTGAGCCAAACCGGTTTCGGCGACCAAGTTAATTTTAACTTGAGGTTGAAACCTGACTTTAATTTTTTCCTGGCTCTGTGGCACTTGACACAATTTTAATCTTCTAAACTTAATTTCTTAGCTTAGGGTCTATAGAAGCAAAGCCTGAGGCAAGGGTTCTAGTTTTAGAGATTTTTTTTATCACTCTCACAGGTGAAAAGTATTGGAACAAGGCTGTGGTGATACCTAGAGGATAGCTTCCAATTGTTCCATGGAAGGGTCATGTTAATTGCACCCTGGAATTAGGCCTATAGTAGACTAAGAAAACTAAACTTTTATATACCTATTTGGTAATAAAATTGATCATTTGCTGATATACTATATTCTTTTGAGAAACATTATCAGCTACTATACTGTTTCATTATCTATGAAATCTGCGTAATTAGATTATGTCAGTGGTTTGAAAAGATCGTGAGGTATTTGAACTTTATCAGTGAGGAAGTCTTCATTTCTAATAATAAAAGAACCTTTCACTCTAATGTGCCCAAGCAATAAAGAGAGTTAGCTTTCGTGAGGACTTTACAGGTAAGAAATGCATAGGAACTGGATTGTAGGGACTCATTCAATCTGCCAGGTGTTGTCTTGTCCTCAGAATCACCAGGTAGTGTCACCAGATGGAGACGTCATAAGGGTACCTGATGCCTGAGAAAGAACTCTTTTTCTTCTTGAAGTCAGATAATTATAGATTTTCCATGGAGTCAACCAGAATATATCTCTGTAGTGGGTGAAATAGTGGCCCTGAAAAGTATGCCCACTTTCTATTTTTCCTAATGCATTAAAATTATATGATATATTGGGGGAATGCTACTTAGTTGGACTTGGGGTATTTGTAGAAGATGACTTTATCTCAGATTATATGGGTAGACCCTTAATATAATCATACATATGCTTATAAAATAGACCTAACAAAAATTACACAGAGAAAAGGAGAAGGCAATGTAACATGGCAGTGGAAATTGAATTGATGCAGCCAATATTTGATTTCCAGTATTTAATCAGTTTTTCCAGATTTTTTATGATATCATTGTTTATAACATATAAGATTCAGTGTATAATGTGTTGATTTGATACATTTATGTATTGAGAAATGATTATCACCATAGCATTAGCTAAAACCTCCATCCTGTTACCTAATTACCATTTTACCATTTCTCTTTGTGATGAGAACATTTAAGATCTACTCTCTTAGCAATATTCAAGTATAGAACACAGCCTTATTAGTTATAATCATCATGCTGTACATTATAGCCTCAGAACTTAACCTTATAATTGGAAGTCTGTACCCTTTGGCTAACATCTGCCCATTTCTCCCACCTTCCATACCCTGGTAACCCACATTCTATTCTGTGTCTAGATTCCACATAGAAATGATATTATACAGTCTGACTTATTTCAGTTAGCATGATGCTTTTGAGTTTCATCCCAATTGTTGCAAACAGCAGGATTTCCTTATGTCTTATAGCTGAATAATATTTCATTGGATATGGAGATATCTATACATATCTCAAATCTTCTTTATCCATTCATGTGTTGCTGGACACGGTCACTCAAGTTGTTTCTATAACTTGGCTATTGTGACTAATGCTGCCATGAACACGGTGAGCTCTATGAGATCCCAATTTCAATCCTTTTGGATCTATACACATCAATAGGAATGCTGGATCACAGGGCACATTCTCATGAAAAAACAAATGTCCAATGCCTCCTTTGGCCTCAATTAAATTTTCATATAGGTGAGGTGTTACTTGGTACTATTTTTCTGTATGTTCCAGAACCAAAGCATTTTACTCACTATAGCTCCATATTATCTACTATTTGGTAAAGCAAATGCTTCACTTTGTTATTTGCCATCAAGTAGAATAATCTTTCTCTATTGCTCTTTTATATAAAGTTCAAAAGCAGCTTCTCCAATACAATAAAATTCTAGGATTTGTCTTAAATTTAAAAAGCTATTGGGGAAAATTAACATCTCTATGATATTGTGTATATCTATTCCATTTAAAAATATTCTTTCCATTTTTGTGTTTTGCAGTAAAATATTATCAATTTTTCCACAATGTACTTTCATATCTTTTCTTAGACTCCTTTCCAGGTATTTATTTAACATTTTATTAAAAGTGTCTTTTAAGCATCAAACAGACTGTCAAACTACAGCGGGAAGGCCGGGGAGGGTTGGGGGGCGGGGGTGGTGGTGGTGGTAAGAGATCAACCCAAGGACTTGTATGCATGCATATAAGCATAACCAATGGACACAAGACACTGGGGGGTAGGGGAGGCCAGGGGAATGTCAAGGGGGTAAAAAAAAAAGGGAGACATATGTAATACTCTTTGTAATACTTTAAGCAATAAAACAAATTTTTTTTAAAAAAAGAAACAAACTCAGAAAAGTAATTTTATATATGGTAACATTTAAAGCAGCATTTAATATCAGTGAAGGTGATTCAATGAATGAAGTTGGGATAATTGGCTATTTAGTTGGGAAAAAAATTAAAGGATGTATCCTTATCTCATATAATGAATGGGTATTAATTCCAGATAAATTAAAGCTCTAAATGCAATTAAAAGAAACCATAAAAGAACATAGAAGAAAATAAATGAAAATTTTGTTACTAATCTGGGGATGAATAATGTACTTGTATAAAAGGTCCAAATGCTTCCGAAGGCCACACAAAGACCCTTGCTTAGCTCCTTAATATCATCTCTCTCTACTGCCCCTACTCCTCCTCTCCAGTCATGGGAAGTTCTTGCTCCAGGAGATGCACCATGCATGCTCTCTCACCTGAGTGCCTTTGCAATGCTCTTTTTGTCCCCTCTCTCTAATATACTGAACAATTCATCATTTTCCCTCTGACTGTAAATGCTGCATTTATCATATATTAAATTTGGCTCAATGTCATTCCCCCCTTCCCCCCCGCCCCGGATTCTGTTCTGTTCCACTGATTTGTTAGTCTTCTCCTGTGCCAATGACATAATGTTTAATTATCTTATATTTTTAGGTAGATGTTTATACCTGCTATCTTTATTATAATTTTAAAAAATACTGGAATCAGCTTATCAAATTCTATTAAAAACTCCATTAGGAAAAAAGAGTGTCTTTTAGAAATTACACTTTCTAAATAAATTTTGCTTTGTAAAGCTATGCAATTAGTATCTGTATAGTATTTTGAACAAGAACATTCTCTTGTTCTTTCTAATAAATTGTCTATAGTTATTTGCATTCTCCACCTAGGTGCTAATATTACCTGTCAATGGTTCATTTTTTTCTCAATGACTCAAACCTGAACTATGTTGCTTATATAGAAGCAGTATTAGCAACTTTTATATATTGTTATTGATTTTTAAAAGAATACTTTTAGTCTTTGACCATTAACTATTTCATTTACTATAGTTTATTTCTGAAATACCTTTTTTTTTGGAGCTAAGGTAGTTTCTTTTATTCTTACATCACTGTTTTTATCATCATGGAAGGATGTTGCATTGTTTTTTTCAGCTATTGAAAATAATCGGCCCTGGCTGGTTTGGTTCAGTGGATAGGACATCAGCCTGTAGACTGAAGGGTCCTGGGTTCAATTCCAGTCAAGGGCACATGCCTGGGTTGCGGGCTTGATCCCCAGTGGGGGATGTGCAGGAGGCAGCCAATCAATGATTCTCTCTCATCATTGATGTTTCTAGCTCTCTTTCCCTCTTCCTTCCTCTCTGAAATCAATAAAGATATATGATAAAAAAGGAGCAACTCAATGTTGTTCATTAAATCTAAAAAAAAAAGAAAGAAAAGAAAATAATCGTATGTTTAGGTCTTTACTCAGTAAATGTGTTGAATCATAATTTAAGATTCTTTTTTTTAAAATATATTTTATTGATTTTTTTACAGAGAGGAAAGGAGAGGGACAGAGAGTCAGAAACATCGATGAGAGAGAAACATCGATCAGCTGCCTCCTGCACACCCCCTACTGGGGATGTGCCCTCAACCACGGTACATGCCCTTGACTGGAATCGAACCTGGGACCCTTCAGTCCGCAGGCCGATGCTCTATCCACTGAGCCAAACCGGCTAGGGCCATAATTTAAGATTCTAATGCACACATTTATTCATTCATTCAACAAATATCGAGAACACACTGTTGCCAGGCCCTGTATTAGGTGCTGCTGATGAAACCGTGCACAAAAAGAGAAATCCCAGTGCTCCAGGAGTATGCATTTCTGAAAAACGGGTGATCTATGACAGAGCTAAATGCGGGACACTGTGATATGACACCTCTCGACTCTTTAGTGAAGAAGCAGTGATCACCCGAGCTTCTAGGAGTGCTGCTGGCAGACAGCCTTTCATGGTCAGCCCCTCTTTGCATCAACCTCTCAGAAGAGAACCAATGCCGCACCTAAGGTCACTCCCCTTGGCAGGGCTGCACATAATGACTGATCAGTGCAGGTGTTAAGACCTGGACTTCTTGCTCCAATTTAGAACAGCTCAGAAGCAACATTCCAGCTATAGAACTTCCTGCAGAGTCAGGGGAGTTTGACATTGAAACTCCATTGCATTTCACTTTCCCTCTGCCTAGTCCTACACTGCTCCTCTTCTTCCACATGGACTCATCTGAGAACTCCTCAGCATACCCCTGCATGCTTATCTCTGTCTACATGTCTACCTCCCAGTGGACTAATCTG